TAACTGTGTTTCTAAAGCACTTGCCAAAGTTATGTATTAGAGGCCAAGTTATCAAATGAAGACTAATCAAAAATTGCGGCCAGAACAGTTTGGTTTCAAGGGATAGCTACTGAAAATTTTGCCCAAAAATGTATTCACCAGTTTCAAATTATTGCTACAGCAAACAGCTAGTATCTCCAAAAGCAGCAATAACAACCTGTTCCTTGTAGTGTTTATAGGTTGAGTTTTCTTTGAGGTAAAGACTAAATATTTAAAAATTAAGCTCTAGCATCGCAGGTTTAACGAAATTTGGTGGTAGCCTATAGATTGGTTTTATATGGCTCAGGATAGGGGGAGATGGCATGGTCTTGTGAACATTGTAAATAACCTTTGGGTTCCATAAGAGGTGGGGATTTTCTTGACTATCTGAGTGATTACCATCTTCTCAAGAACTCTGCTCTGTGATGTTAGCTTATTAGCAGAAAACAATGTTGGTTACTGTACATGACCAAAGTCTCAAAAGCATCATGAGTAGCCAATCTTAGGTTGTACTTCCTGTCATATCAGTTTCATTTACACGTAACTATTTTTCAAGTTTCTCAGTCAATGGTTTACTTCCTTTTCTGGGTTGAGAAAGCTGGGAATTTATAATGCAACACATTGACTATTCTAAGCTTTGTAACCTTTGCCCTTCTTCTAGGCTTGGGTATAAGGAATTAAAGTAAAAAAAAAAGTTAAACATGTTAGTAATTTAATAAATTAAAACTTTAAAGTCAAACATATAAATTCATTAATTTGTATTAGATGTAAATATAACGCAGGTAAAGAGAAATAATCTTCCTTTAATGAGTATTTCTATTGATAAAAACTACCTTTACCACAACAACAGCCAGATGCTTCGTAAGAGCCCGCACTTCTTACATAGGGTAATCAGAATGGGTTGCTTGGTCAGAGCACAACTTACAGGACCCTGATATATGAGTATTGGACAATGTTGAAATGATGATTTATTATTATTTAGTGTTCTGTCTGACGACAGGTCCATATGAACAGGATCCTTCCATCCTTTTCTCGGACTGGGACCTGTTCATATACGTTCTTGGCAGATGATCCAGAAGTGGTTTGCCATTGCCTGCTTCTGTGTGTGAATAGAGTAATTGTTGGGATGCCACGGAGGAAAACTCCGTGTTGCCTAGACCAAGGCCTTGCCCAACACAAGTTATAAATTCGGGCACCGCCGGGAATCGAACCCGAGACCCCAGGATAACAAGGATAGCGTTCTGACCGCTAGACCACCGTGGCGGTCGTATTTTGATTTTATTAAAATATATTAAATAATTTCCTACTCCGGGTGATCAGTTTTACAACACTGCAATATTGTTGTCTATTTGTGACGTCTATAGATAGACAACGCACATTTTGCACCACTGAAGTAGTTCTGGTTGTAATGAAACGCGTGACCTTGAGTCCTCTGAAACTGAAAATGTGTTATGTGCGCGTCGTTCAAGGCCGTGTCCAAACTTTTACCGATTGATGCCTCAGACCGCGTGGCTACGGCGCGCGATAATATAACCATACAATTAGTATATCTGTGTCTTTATTCATTTGAATCAACACAAACTTCATGGTGCAGAGCTCTCCAGCTCAGTCCATTACGGAATTTGTTACCTTTTATTGAACTCTGATATGCTGACAACAGACCAATACTGAACCCTATCCTGAGTTAACCGAATAAAGACTACATGCCTCAGATCTTAATTCAACAACATCAATGTGGGATGTTGTTTTTTTTATTGGGTGTTACACCATGCTGTGTTTACCCTCATGATGGTGGCATTAAGCTCCTATGAAAAGTATGTCAACTTCTACCAGACTACACGGCACAACATCTGACCCACAGCAAGAACCTGAAATCTCATCATTTTTAATCTTATCCTGCCATATACACACACGAGGAATAAGTTTAGTATAATTACAATTTTGTTTAACTTAGCGTAATGGTATCGAAACATCCGGCTGTTTGATCACAAATGATTACTCAACATGCACAAGTACATTTTGTGTTGACACACAATAAATACAATACGACACACTTACGCAGAACAAAATGCTTCAACACAAACTTCTTTACACAGCATTAAACTGTTTCCAGTCATTAAACCCACCTCATCCTTTTCTATCTCCAGATACGCATCTCAACATAACATTAAATCTACTGGGTGTCCTATATTCTCATCATGGATAATATCAGAAGCCTGAAACAAAGGATTAACAAAGTGTTTCTGTGCCACACATTAAACTGAACAATGGGCCTATAAAATTATGGGCTTCAATGTTTGTATCTTCCATTAGTATTACATAATAATTAAATAAAGTGATATTATTAATATTTATATCTCACAGCATGTCTTAAATTTTATTTGTTTATTTAATAATGTTGTCAATAATGGATAATTAACTGGAAGGGACATGTGGCCTTAGTTAAGGTACTATCGTGCCATTTTCACCGAGGGGCTCGGAAAAATCACATAATGGTTGAGCCAGGATAGCTGGTCACAGCCGAGATCTGAACCTGTAGCCTCAGTTATAAAGCATCACGCGAAGATATCAGTTCAGGACACTAAGTAGACAGGACATATAATTGGCCAGGATATATGGCCTAATGTAAGGATTCTGTAGTGACGGTAAAGCGGAAATTTTATAAACTGGACAGTTTGTGACTTTCTACAGCTGACACCATAATGTAAGATGTATAATTTTATTTGCACTATTATTCGGGTGAGTACCTATAATTAGCTGTACAATTTCATGTATTCAACCTAAAATTCAGTATTTCTGATGGCATATTTGCATATTAACTAATGCCTTTAAGAAAAGTCTAAAGCATGGTTGGCTGATAATGTCCGTGAATCTTTTTCCATCCCACATTGTGATGACATAAATCACAAGCCATTGCTAGCTTTCCTGACCGGATTACGCTACTTATTGTAGCTCCCCAATTTCCTCACGATGCTGGGTTGGCACCAATCCCATACACTGGTCGAAAGCTCACGAGAAAATTTATTCTCCCCCGAGACTCGAACCAGCGCGCATTCCGTCCGAAGCATGATGCCTCAGACCGCGCGGCTACGACGCGCGATAATATAACCATACGATTAGTATATCTGTGTCTTTATTCATTTGAATCAACACAAACTTCATGGAGCAGAGCTCTCCAGCTCAGTCCATCACAGAATTTGTTACCTTTTATTGAACTCTGATATGCTGACAACAGACCAATACTGAACCCTATCCTGAGTTAACCGAATAAAGACTACATACCTCAGATCTTAATTCAAGAACATCAATGTGGGATGTAGAGATTTTCTTGGATGTTACACCACGCTGTGTTTACCCTCACGATGGTGGCATTAAGCTCCTATGAAAAGTATGTCAACTTCTACCAGACTACACGGCACAACATCTGACCCACAGCAAGAACCTGAAATCTCATCATTTTTAATCTTATCCTGCCATATACACACACGAGGAATAAGTTTAGTATAATTACAATTTTGTTTAACTTAGCGTAATGGTATCGAAACATCCGGCTGTTTGATCACAAATGATTACTCAACATGCGCAAGTACATTTTGTGTTGACACACAATAAATACAATACGACACACTTACGCAGAACAAAATGCTTCAACACAAACTTCTTTACACAGCATTAAACTGTTTCCAGTCATTAAACCCACCTCATCCTTTACTATCTCCAGATACGCAGCTCAACATAACATTAAATCTACTGGGTGTCCTATATTCTCATCATAGATAATATCAGAAGCCTGAAAGAAAGGCCTGGAAAAAGTTTTTGTCAGACACAAGCAGCACTTCTGCGTACTTGGTGTCCTCGTCAACAGATTTCTTGTCATTAAAATCTGCTTGCATAGAATCTGAGGGCCAACTTCCAAATTGAATTCTCTTCTTTGGCTGTACTCAGATTTTTATGGACCTGACCACGCACTTTCCCAGTCTGCTGAAAAAAAAATATCAGGATATTTATTTGTAATTTTTATTAAACCAATGACTGTTCTTGAAATTTCACTCTCATTGTCACCATAATCATCATAAATTAACCCTTTAAATGCAATGTTCGTCTAAATAGTATTTAAGAATTCAGTCCACACCAGGAAGAAAAATAGCCTTGTAAAGCAGTACAATTACTCTGTTTATGTATATCCACCCCTTTATTTAATTAGTCAACTGTAAAAAGTTTTACCACTTACCATTTTTAATCTCAAACATTTAACAGTTCAAAATTGATGACTATACAACTTTGAAGCATAAGTTATCTTAACAATTCAATATGCATTTCTAAATTGCAGAATGAACCTTCAAACAGCATTCAAGGTTAACTTCCAAGTTCTTTTTTCAAGAACTGCAATTCTGATGGCTTCACTTTGAAACACACTCAATTTTCTTATTTAAAATTTCAATAAGAAATAAATTTGAAGGGATCATTTTTGTTTTTTGTACAGGAACCTACTATCAGAGAAAGAGACCTCTATGTGTCAAAGTCCAGAGAACCACATAAAGTAAGCCTACTTACTTCCCCATTAAATGCTGAAATATCGTACTCCGCATTTAAGAAATATTATGCAAATTTAAAGCAACTATCTGTAGTATAAGGGTAAAACTCGAAACATTACCGATTCATCGATCTCATTGGAGCAAATTCGCGTTAACGAAACATACGTGATTGCGGAGATGACTGTATTTATAATTTTTATTCAAAATCAGCGATGTAATAATTACTATTTAGCATAAAAATCAGTACGAGATACATTGTGAAACGTTATAAATAATAGTAAAATATATTTCTTTCACTTTTTGACTTGCTGGTTTCAAAATAGGCGTTATTCTGAATCGACGCAAATCAAGGGCTACCTGTATTTTGCAATTATGTTGATTAACTTATGAAGGCTTTGTGTCTAGAACAAAACCACATAAATCCATATTAATTTTAAATTTAAGTTAATGAAATTCTGCCATTCATTTCAACATTGCATAAACCATATACTTATATCTAAGTTATAAACAACCCTTACTTCCGTGCCACAGAAGGTCCTGATTTGATGATGAGGTCAGTACAAAGGGAATTTACTTTTACTGTTACAACCTTCGCATTTCTGTCTGGAATTTCTTCACCAAAATCCTTTTCATCCTCTGAATCAGAATATTCCTGTAATTAAAACTACACATGAAATTAAACTCTTCAGCATCTATACGTATCAAAGATTCTCAACACATTAATGGCCACAGTTCATTTCAAAATAATTCAAATGATAAAAGTCTTTACATTGATATGATAAACAGTCAATAAAATGGAGTGTCTTGCCTCCTACCAGCTAGACAAAATAGTTAACAACATAAAAGAGGTAAAACCCCTAAAGAAAGAGATCAGCAATGAGATCCATTGGTAGGTTTTAATTCTAGACTGTAAAAAGCAAGAAGTTCTAATGTTTCCAATATTGGATAAATTTTAGTAACAAAATAGTGTGAGTTTGAAATGGTTTTGATTTATAACGTCTACCAGGTAAATAAACAAATTTTTATAAGAATGAATACATTCATACGGTTTGTTATATTTGATTTATTTGCCTCCGTTGGCTGAGTTTGTTTATTCCCTGTATATTTATTTCTCATGTATTCTACGTTAGGTTTGTACACTTTACACAAACTGTACCACGCTAAAGCTTTCAGAGCACATTTCAAAAATGTGTCTGCATTTAATAACTTTGAATGTAGAATACGAATATAGTTTTTTCTAAGTGTTCTACAGAAGAGAGAATTGATATTTTAACCTGTACCAACGTATACACATACGAAATCCACGGCGAACAACATGATTAACGTCGGAACATCATCAGTTTGACCAACATACTTGTTAAGAAAATGACTGGTTCTAACTAAACATGGGTTCCAGTGTTACTTTCATGTTTCAACATGATAATCTGAAGTTAGTTCATAACAAATGCATTTTCAAGTGTTCTTTATGCTTTTGCAGAAGCTAGAAACACTTTGTGGGCCGTCCTCACCAGAGTCTCTACAAAGAATGGGTAATTTGAAAAGTTGGACTGCGTTCCCACAGCATGCAGATTTTCCTTCGATTCAGAAAACAACTTTTAATAAATATTTTTTGTAATTTGCATCGCTGTGCCCTAAGTAAACATGCAACACAATTCACTGTGTGAAATATGGCATGTACATATAAAATTGCTAGAGCGTCACATTTCCATAGCAAACACGCAGCTTCCTCAAATAAATGCTCGCTTAAATATACAAGTACAAGAAACTGAGTTCACAAATCATAACTGTAGCAAATAGTGACGTCATGACTAACAAGGCGAGAGAAATGGCAAAAAGACAATCCACTACAGAGTCTGAAGGCAGGCTTAAATCCTAAATACATTCTATGGAAAATGACCATTACACACACCATAACATTCAACTCTCGCAACCTTTACATATGTGATTGATTGTTATATTGACATGTCGTTAAGCTACTGATTGAAAATCAATGTACGTTGTAACGTGTAAAGAGGAGAAAATGTTCGTTATAAGGAAGTTTATTCAAACGCTGTAACGGGGTTCCGCTACACGACTATAATAGACTACGTTCCTTTCGATAAAGAGGTCGCCGAAGGAAGTGATCTGGAAGCCGATTCGCTTTAACGAGAACATTCTGGCAGCCAAGCAGGTGGCATCACAATCAGCGTTCCTCGAGTCTCATCGCGGACCTCTGAGAACACTTGCTTTACGACAGCCTCGGCCGATGTGCGAATCCCTGACAACTGGCCTCCATCCCCGTGATTTCTTCTAGATTTAATAGCGTGAGTCAGTGTGTCCGTTGGCAACCCTTCAGCAACGGTCACTCACGAGCCCGTATCAATACCAATATTTAGGAGTAACACAGTGTCTCCATATTCAAGGCTGAACAATAATTTGTATTCACGACTAAATCAGTACGACTCTTGGTAAAAGAGCAAATTTCGTGCCCGGAAAATTTCACGTGCGTAATTTACTAATTAGAACTACAGTAATAGAACATGGCAGAAATACTTTGCTATGAGAGGAAAATATCTTCCAAACAAACCATTTGTAACACCGACACGGATATATAAAATATTGATACACAACATCTTTTAGAAATGTTGAATGGGTTGAACTGGTTGAGGTTCATATCACACGCAAATTAGCAGCTAAGCGCTTTCGAGACACACTATAAAACAAACGACAGTCGTTAAAGTATCGATGAGTCACACTGATCTTTCGACGGGCGGTCTGTTGGCCGGATTCAATTCCCCCACATCCGACCGCGTAAGCTACCTCAACACAATTCGACAGATTCTCTAAAGAAGCAGAGACCGTCAGTGACTCCAACCAAATACTGTTCATTCGTTGGAGCATGCGCGTTACATTTATCCCGAGTCATCTTATTCATGTTAGTTCAACCGGTAATTCGTGTTTCGCTGAGTGTATTTCTGATTGATTCAAGTCTTTCCACATGTGTGACAAGACACTTTTGTACCTACAACAGTCTTTCAAACTCCAATCCACTATTCAAAACTGAGCGGTTTCTGAGGAAACCGACATAGTGAATCCAATATTAAACTTTTTGGAAAATCCTTAAAAACCATCCCATCTGAAATTCATTTTTTACTATTCAATTTCAAATGAATGCATTTACATGTATTGCAACGCAGAAATACAGCTACAGTTGTGTGTGGATTACTTTATTTTTTTATTTGTAGTGTTCTGTCTGACGACAGGTCCATATGAACAGGATCCTTCCATCCTTTTCTCGGACTGGGACCTGTTCATATACGTTCTTGGCAGATGATCCAGAAGTGGTTTGCCATTGCCTTCTTCTGCGTGTGAAAGGAGTAATTGTTGGGATGCCACGGAGGAAAACCCCGGGTTGCCTAGACCACGGCCTTGCCCAACAAAAAATAATGTTATTAAGACGGCTATAATTAGCGTCTCAAATATACAACTCTTAAATAAGGTACCATTACCTATCGTCACTTCAGGTACAAGAATTTGCAACATGGAACATAGGAGTAGAAAATGTTTGTTACATTCAGTGGGGAAGGATCTCACCAGATACAGTAGGATGGTTCCCAGTGTGTTGAATAACGAGCCATGGAATAGCACAGGAACTTGTTTCTGGTAGTCGAAACACCTGGAAAGTGATCTGTCTGGTAGATACGTTGTGGAGGTTCCAAGTCTGAGAGTACAGGGCTGGGGGTACGCGTACCCCAGGTTGAATACCACTGCTCTAGACCAGCGATACATAAGCGTGATTGTTTGCAAGCGAGCATATAAAAATTATTCTGCCTGGCGACCCATAGTTTTTCAATTAGGGACAAATTAATTATATATTTTTTTGGAAATACGTCAGCGTTATATTTTATTTATTTTTGTGTGAATAAAAGTGCATTTACAAATACGGAAAAAAAATAAAATTCGTTGGTAACATTTACTTGACTAAATTATTAATAATGTAAAATTAATTATGCTTTGAATTTCGCAACGCGAACCACCAAAACGTTTTCGCGACCCAACATTTATGAACCCCTACCCTTCACTAATGCGTTTTTTGCTGAAATAGTATTATCTACATATGCGTGAAGGTTTAACGTAAAAGATGACATTACTAACTACAAAAACATTTTGGAATAAAATCGTTTATCATAGAAAATCCAAAATCAACCTAATTTCCAAATCGGCGCTGTTTCAGCACTATTTCAGCTGAAGCTCACCTGCGGTAACAGTGGCGTCTTTTCGACGGGTCTCGATGACAGGCTTCGCGACGCATGGCGCCAGTTTTCCACGTTCGAAGGCACCTTACGTTCGTCTGTGACAAGTACGCCGTTTTCGTTCGGCGTCACAAAGCTTGGCGTTGTTTTTCATCGTCGTTTTACGGTTTCTTTGAAGCTCATCTTCCGTGAAATGTGGCTTTGTGTCGACATAGCGACAGTGGACCGAACGCTATTACTGGCTTAATTTGAATTTCATAATCGAAGTCTGAACGCAACGCTCAGCTTCGATTATCCACCGTCGTGTCCTGTGGCGGCTCTGTAATCATCGCCAAATGAGTCTTGTACTGTGTGCCCGATTATTTACCTATTACATCACCAACTGGTTCAGTCTACTTAAGAACGTGTCCCGTCGAACATCCGCGCTCTCCCTCCCTCTCTCTTTCCCCCAACCCCGCCTGACACGATTCCTGCCTTGAACCTTTTTCCATGAAAACTCATGAACCAGGCTTGCGTTCGGTAAACATCTAGAAATGTCTCTCCGGTTCTGTGCGTTAAGTTTCGTCTCGAATGTTCTGGGACAGTGGTCGCCTGACGCGATGTCCACCACGTAATTTATTATTTGCCGTATTTTAAGTTTTTACCAACACCGCCCCCCAAAAAACCGACCCCACAATTTCAACTTCATATAAAAATTTGTGTACTGGGGCCCCTGCTTTAAAGGGTTAACGAGTAACTTATTGCTGTCACATGAACCACTTTGTACGTGGGCGAAGATTAGGTGTTACTTTTTTTTTACAATTTAAGGTACCTAATATCTGTGCTAAAAGAATTTTAAATTATGCACTCAAATCGATAACTGAATTGTATAATTATTAATTTCTAGTTTCTGTTCAATCAGTGTGGCGACCAGGCTGAGAGACCAGGGTTCGGTCCTGGGCAGGGTAGAATTTTTATCTTCGCCGAAACATCCATTGTGCCTCACAGACTCCTATCCAGCGGGTACCGGGTTCTCTTCTCGGTGGCATGGCGGGCGGAATGCAAATCTGTCTCCCCTCAAGTGTTAAGAATGTTTGCAGAAATACCTCCGTTCTCCCATAGCTCAGAATGGAGTGTGGTGCGTAGTTAATCATCAGGAATAGCGTCACCATGATCTGTATTTGAATAAATGACGAGTCGCTGGGATATTGCAATGGTTGGGCCTATTGTCATTACTGTGAATTGTTCAATGATACGGTCCTTCACTGTTTAATTTGAATGTACCGTGTTTTAAACCTCGTGTTCCCTCCATTTATATAGGTACTCGTTATCAATATTACCGACGTAATCTGCTGAAATTAACGAGATGAAAGTTTCAAAACAAAGCAGGACTTTTTCCTTATGCATCTTGTTCAGATGCGGTGACTGATTTTATACGTGCGTGTACAATGGGGAGAGAGTGGACAGATTCCTGTGGTGGGCTCTGGTTTCGGGTAGCGACCGCTATTTTCTGTTCTTGGGGACGAGATGCGACCCGCTCGTCTTATACCAGAGCCCTTTCAGTGCTGACGGCACAGCCACGTAAAACGTCATGTAACATCTGGTAGTCGTATATTACATCTACACGCAAGTACGTATGGTTTCCGTTGAGACGGTTCTAAGATCAAGTTCTGTAGTTGAATATTCTAACTACGTAATTAAGACGATATTTAGGACAGCGCAGACTTTACTCTGCAAGGCGGATACACTTTGAGACAAGAAAAGATGGAACAGTTGTAAAAACGTTGCTCATGACTAGGATATAGAAATACTTCAGTAAAACGAGTCATGTTTTTAGAACTGCTTGTATATTTAAATGGTTCACTTTGCCGTTGAAGGGGTGCAGCTTCGCATCGAGAGTGATTCAGTCGGAAAGTCGGGGTGTTTCGACAGAAACTGTCAGATCACCAGATCGGCGTGTTAACTGGGTCCCTACAAACGTAAAGAACAACAGTCAAACTGAAGGACATTGTATCAAGTGTTTGGATTACGTGGTATTGAATCGAATGACTGTAAATGATGCATCGGAAGGGTCTGAAAGCGATTGTTACGTAGTTTTGGGCAGCAAACCGGAAATGAATACAAAGACGATGTCAATACGTCAGATGCCGGACAGAGAGTCAAACCCGGTTACGGCTAGAAGCAAGGGCGTTATCGT